TACAGAAATGTTACTTTCTAAATATTTGGATTTATAAAAAAAAGAAATGAAATCAAGGGAAATATTTCCCCAATGTTTCATTTGTATGTACAGAGCTACAATTTGGTATCTCGTGTAAGAATACACTTTGTCTCAACATCTCATGTATAGTATACAAAATTAACTAAAGCACATTAATAAAAGAAAATATATACTTTCTCAGAATGTTGTGTAACTATTCTTCACTTTGTAATATGTAGACTGTATATTTAAAACACTTTTTTTTCAAGTTACCTAGTCAATGTTTTTTCTTCTAATCTTATTTCCTTTCAAAATGATATATTTAGCATCAGGAGTTTTGCTTTGTCTCATTATTTTGTAAAAGTGATTTCAAATATTGATCATGTGATCAGAGTATTTAAAAGCATTGAATATGCTTTCAAAACGCAACCCAGTTCACACATTGCAGCTTAAATCTCCTTCTCATTCCTTCAAGATCCCTGACCTCACACACCAATCACACACATTATGAAGAATCTCTCACCTGTGCCGGGACGTCCCATGATGATGTCCTTCCGTGGGGCGGGGTGAAGGTTTTCGGCAGGAAGGATCAAGGGCAGCAGAGCGGTGGGAGAGGGGTGACAGGGGACCGGCTGTTGGACCTCACCCCCAAACCCGGTCCCCCTGTTCTCGTCCGCAGAGGTGTCCGTGCTGCTGGGAGCGGGAGCTGTGACTGTTGTGCTAACGGTAACTGACAGGGCCTGCAGGGGGGCGGCGGCAGGGGGGTCAGCGGTGGGCAGGGAAGAGGGGGTCGGGGACGCGAGCACCAGAGTTTGGGACGGGCTCCGCAGCAGAATTGTGCCATTAGGTACTGTGGCTGCAGCAGCGTTAATGGGGACGGGAACCTGGAGGCCCTGAATTGACTGAGGGGCGAGGGGTGTGAGGTCTTTAGATGAACTTTTATCTCCCCCTCCCTCGTTTCCACACTCTGTAAATTTGGCCATCGGGACTTCGGGATTTCTCACAATGACAGGGGAGTCACGCAAGGCCTGTTGGGACACAGGGACCACACGACGGGGCCCTCCGTCTGGAGTGAGGGGAGAAGGAGGCGTCGGGGACACCAGCAGAGGAGGAGGGGAGACATTAGTGGAGGACGGTGGCCTGCTGGAGGGGGTCGTCACTCCTCTGGGTCGGGAGAAGGTGGGTGTGTGTGTGCGGGAAGCCTGTGTGTGAGGCGACAGCACCCTGAAGGAGCTGTTGAGGTCCCCCGACTCCTGCTCCGTCTTGGGTGTGTAATCATGGTGGTGTGAGGGGAGGGGAGGAGGAAGAGGCGCGTCGGGCTTTCGTTTGCTGGGGCTCATGGGGACCGTAAACATCAGGTTGCTGTGGAAGGAGGGCTGGATGCCTGAAGTGTGTCTCTCCCTTTCTCCTCCTCCAGCTGATACCTTACTCCCCCCTCCTCCCCCTGTCCCGCTGGGCTGCCTGTGCCTCCGGTGCTGCAGGATGGGGGAGGCGGTAATCGGGGAGAAGTTGGCCGGCCTGAAGCCAAACAGCGGGGAGGGTGAGGGAGAAGGGGCGGGTGAGAAGGGCGACTGGTTGGAGATGGGAGAAAAAGAGGGGGTGCCAGATCGAGAGCTCCCTAAAGACACTAACATGGTGGCGGCCTCACACTCATCGAAGTCAAAGCGGGAGGAGAGGTCATGGGGGAGGATGGACGGGAGCACTAAGTGGGGTCTGGAGTCTCCCCTGCTACCTGCCTCGCTGCTCTCTCTTGAGGTGTCATCCCACTCAAACTCACTGCTGGCTCTCCCCCGCAGGTCAGGGGTGACTGTCCCTGAGCTGCTGCCTCCCCCCCCTCCTCCCTCCATCTCTTTGGTCCTCATGGACAGGTGTCTGGAGCAGTAGCCCCGGCGCTGGGACTCCTTCATGCATCCCTCCCTGGAGCACAGCCTCCTCCACTGCTTCCCGTTGAACTTCTTACGGATCCCGTTGGGGGTGCACACCACGTCGCCCTTCTTGTATTTCTGCTGAGCCAATGAGAGGGGGGTCCTGGAGCGAGAGGAGGTAGAGGAGGACCCCACACCAGAAGTGGGAGTAGGGGTCTGAGTGGGAGTGGTCTTTGATGGAGGTAGGTTAGGTGTGGTCGAGACCAATAAGGCAGGGGAATGGGGTGGCTGTGGGCTGGCGAGGGTGGAGGGGCATGGGGGTCCCAGGCCTCCCACCACAGAGAGGTGGGGGGAGGAGGGGGGGTAGTGACTGGACTTGGAGAGGATGTTTCGGTGCTGAGAGGTGTCGTCGTTTGTCTTGGGGCCAGCAGTGTTATAACGGGACACCTCGACGTCCTCTTCCGGAGTGTCGGGCTGCTTCTCTCTCTCTCTGTTGGGGGACTTTTCTCCATGAACAGTGCTGCCGGCGACGCTAGATGACACAGTGGAGGAGTGGGGGGTCGGGAGTGCGTTACCATAGGGATGCCCTCCTGCAACCCCTTCATGTGAGAAACCATGGCCCAACCTTGCTCCCCCTCCCAGCACCCCCATCCCAATACTCAACTGGCACACTTCCCTTTCGACCTCCATCTCCTCCCTCCGCTCCCTCTCCTCCCTTTCCCTCTCCCGCTCTCTCTCTTTGGCCCTCCCTCCGTCCAACTGTTGGACCTCCCAGGGAGGGGTGAGGAGCCTAAGACTTTGTCGGGACACCCACACAGCCAGAGCTTTCCTCCCCTCTTTCTCTTCCCCGAGAGTCTCTGCGTCTTCACTCAGGAGCACCTGGTAAGGAAATGACACACCGGGGTGGGGGTCCACCTGAATGACAACCCCCTCTCTGTACAGCAGAGGACCCCCCTCATCTCCCCCAAAGGGCACGCATACTTGGGTCCTGACAGCCACAGGTGCCAGGCCGGGTGGGGGGGCGTCCAAAATGAACTCCACAGTGCTCTCAGCCCCTGAAGGTGATGCCATTACAGTCCCAACATGGAAAGGGTATTTAACAAGGGTCTCGTCTCCTTGGAGCTGCACTTCAACTGTTTCTCCACTCACACCACGCACCACCCCTGGTCTGAACGCAGGCGATAAAGTCAAAGAGTCACCCCCATTGTTCATTCTCCTCTTTGGCCGGCGAGCGAGAACTCTCTGGTTCTTCATGCCTTTGGCCAGAGCTTCAGCGAGTCCCTCTGACAGACTGGGCGACTTATGGTGCCACTTATGGAGAGGAGCTGGGTAGTGGGAGTTCTTTTGATGAAGGTTTGGTCCTGTTGCTTCCATCGCGTCCAGGTCAGCCGAGTGCTCGCTGGCTGTGTCGGTGGACGAGGAGCGTGCTGAGTGAGGGGCCCCCTCCGACTCATTTTCCCTAGCTCGGGAATCTTTTTCCTGGGAGTCTGCTGTCCTGAGGGCTTTGTCCTCCGTGGAAACAAAATGGTTTGCTTCTGTAGCTTCACTATCCACAGTTAGCACTGATGGCTGATTACCTGAGCAATTATTACTTCTACTATTACTGCTATTGATAAAAGTATGGCTCCCAGCACTACTGTTAGTCATGTTGTTAATGCCACTTGTAGTGTTACTCGTAGTACTGTTGATGCTTTTATAATTTGTTACATTGTTCTTGGAATTATTATTGGGTGTATTAATAATACCACTGATTCTGTTATTAATAGTGCAGTAACTGTTGTGTATGAGTGCAGGGTTGGAGGTAGTAATGGTGGTCAGGGCATTGTTAGCAAAGTGCTCATATGTGTATTTTTTCTTGGGTATACGAGCCTTGAATGTGGCTGTTTTCCTACTAGAGACTGAGCCTACACTGGGGACGTGATTGGTGGCCGGAGGGGGCGTGGCTGTGGAGAGTGGCGTCGGGGCAGAGGGAGGAAATGCTACAGTATTAATGGCCAAAAGATTATTTCCATTCGTGCTAACTATCTTCTCCTTTTCTGTCTTTTCGTCTGCCTTCTGTGCTATTTTCTCTCCTGACTCCACAGGTTTCCTCAGCTCAGTCGCCTCCTCCCCGCTGGGGGTATTGCTATTTGTGATTGGTTCTTCGTTAGTGTTCAGGGCTGTTGGCGGGGTCTGTTTGTGTGCGGGGGTGTTGGGTGTATGCTGTGTGGTTTTGACGAGCGTCTCCCTCTTGACTCTTTTGGGGTCTTTCTCTTGGAGGGGCTGCGAGCCTCCTCTCCTTTTCCCCCCCCTGCCTCTCGTTAACGGGGGTGAACGCCCTCTGTGCTTCTTTAGTGGTCTCATCTCTTCTTCGCTGTTCACAAAGTGCAGATGTTGTTGCGCTCCTCTCTTTCACTCCTAAGGCACTCCTTTTGCTGTCTCCCTCTTCTTTTCCTTGTCCCCTGTTCTCCTGTCCTCTGTATTGCAGGCTGGAAAAGAAGAGGGAGACACAGAAGACAGGTGGTCATTTATTATCTTCATAATCAAAAATTGCTGAGAATAAAAATGACGTCAGTCCTGGAAGTGTGCTACACTGCACCGGCTATCACATCGGCTCTAAATCTGACGTATGCTCTCAATGACTGCCTGATATACATGCAAGCATGAATGTGTTTGTTTGTCCATACATGCCAGTGTGTATAGTCAAAACATAAATGTCTCTTTTTGTTATCCACCATTTAGACAGCAACCTATAACATCCATATTTTTCTCCAGACCGTGTCATATTTATCTTAATATGAACCCATAAGGACACACCGTGACACGGGTGTCACATGAACTTTAAATGTTCCTTATACAGCTTTAGTCTTTATTTTATCTCATGAAGTCCCTAAGTGACACACCCTGAACGGTCTGGTGGGTCATGGTCCAGGTCATGTGATTTTCTGTTCCCATGACAACATGTCCAAGATGTCCATGTGCCAGGCTAACACGTGTGACCGAACTAGCTACATTTCAAAAACTTCTGTTGTTGTTGCTAAAGGTAAAATTCAAGCCATTTAAGAATGAAAATGCTTACATAACAAGTCCTTTATTACATTTAAGCTGTAGTGCAAACATTTCTTGATCAAATTGATATGAAACAAATGAGACAAACATCGCGGTGACACTGGTTTCACATCGGGACTTTAACCCTATACACTTTCACAGTTAACCCAAAGTGACATATGCACAATTAAAAATATGATTATGATCTGCTCAGTTAATTTAGCTGATTAAATTATATTGAGTTAATATATTCTTTATTCTTCGATTCAAAGAATGTTCAAACTAATTTAAACCAGAAAATCATCCTCATGAATTAAGTTGTATAATAACAGTTGTTTTACCATTAAAGCCCATTGTGACACATATGTCACATTTCAGATATTTGAAACTAGGGGGGGTTTCTTGTCAGAAATGTGTTTTAGGTGGTCTATTTAGTCTAAATTATGTTCCCCTTAATTTTCCCAAAAGTAGAAATGGGTCCGGGTTCTTATGGGTTAAATGAAAAAGTAGGAACATTTTTATATTTAACAATGTGCCACCTAGAATTTAGGAATACTATTGAAGGAGATGTTAATAATCACACTTTCTAGATTTCTGTGATCAAAATATTTTTATTAATTTTCTTGTTCAACAGAAATCCCACAGATGGGCCAAAACAGCATCACAATGCAGTGAGTTGTGCAAACATGTAGCATTACATACAAAAAGTGAAGACATTTTATAGAAAATCAAGAAAAAAAGAAAAACACCATCAGCAAAGTATTGTGAACAAATAATTATGCCGGAGATGAGCATATTGGTTCTGATAGTGAGATAAAATCGGCATAGGAATAAATAATTGTATATCATTGCTTACATTTTCGATTGTTACAATTGGCAAAGGCCAATTAAGGGATAGCATTACAAGGACATTGGGCCAAAATGACGATTCAAAGAAAGAAAGAAACTTGAACATTCAAGGTCACTCGCTTCGTTGTGCCTCTTAAAGTACTCCATCATCCAAAAGGTCTGCCTTTAACGAGGCCTACAAGTCTTTAGCTTGAAATACACAAAAGGCTTTCCTTTTTTTTTCACACACACGTCGCCTAATCTCTTCACGATACTCCCTCCAGCTACTTCGACATGCGATGGAGTAGTTTTCTCATGCTGTGTGTTTCAGGCTTGATTTTATATTTTCAACGTCGGACTGCAACAGCCACACAGCATTTAATTTGACTTCTACGGGAGGGAAAGGCCTGGCAATGGCCTGAGTGAGGTAACCCTGTAACATGTGTGTGAGAGAGAGAGCGAGAGAGAGAGAGAGAGAGAGAGAGAGAGAGAATGCGGCTGTTTGGCTGTTTGTTCAAATAGGCTGTTCTTGTGTAGTCACTGGGAATTTCCAGTCATTCTAGCACTCGCTGGCCCTCTCTCACTCTTTCTCAATGTCTCAGTCTTTCCCCGTCGTCCTCTATTATTTGACACACACACACACACACACACACAATATAATTGGAATTATCTGCCACGGTAAGATACACCCAAAATGAGGGAAAGTAAAAGGCTGGCTCTGGATCAGGCACGCTCACTGATGCAAGATTACAGGCTAAATACAGTCTACACACACAGGCAAACACACACACACACACACACACACACTTGTTCTCACACACGTACATATGCGCTCCCCTCGACTAAGCTCATCAACATGTGCAGATGCCGAGCATTTCTACAAATACAGACAAACACGTAGACAAATTCACACGCTACACATTCACAGTTCCTCTTCAAGACATCGGAAAAGTTTGTCACACATACATAAGATGACCTTGTTGATAACCGTTTGTGCGTTGTAACAAAACATACACAACATAGACCCGTATCATCTATTCTGCAGTACAGAAAAGTATTTATTTTGCTCCTGAATGGCTAAAACCCAACCCGCGTCATTCACACACATCCCTGGCTCTTTGTTCTGACCTCTGCCCTCACACACAACACAGCTTTTATTTCCATTAGAATTTCTGAAACCTCCCTTTTCATAATTTGTTTTGACTAATTGGCGAAATAGCACTTAGTATGTAGCTTAATGCGTGGAATTGATCTACAGTTACTGTCATGGAGCCATTTGAACGCAATATCTATGCCTTTATATGACCTACTAAAAAATATTTTGGTAAACTGTGTAACTGTCTGCCACTGTCATACATTTACCTTCCCACTTAGCAGATTATACTGTGCATTATACCACAATAACAAATACAGAACAATTAGAATAACCTAAAATGAAACTCCTCATCTAGTCTAGAGGGGATTGTTGGTCCTGTAGTCGCCGTACTGCGCTGAGAGACAGGAAGGAGTCAGAGCCACTTGACTGGATGTCTGCTGGACTGAATGACTTGGGAGGATCTGATCTTAGCTTAGAAAAATGTGTTTGGTCATGCTCATGGCCTTTACAAAATGCTTGAGGCTTTGGCTGATAAGCCAGTTGCATTTATGTGTATTCACTTTATATAACTCTTACGTTACTGTAGTGCACTAGAGAGTATGTGCTAAACATGTAAGAGGAGTTTCAGAGTTAAAACACGGACTGTCTTGTTTTTTTTAAGCGCGAGTCTAAAACTACTTTTTTTTTATTTTTTTTTTTTAAATCAGAGATAGCCTCATATGTTGTAGTTAAAAAAGGGGGAAAATGTAATCCTCAACCACGTGTTCCCATTTGTGAATCCAATCCTCTTAACCACAGACATTCATTTGATATCACAGACAAAATACCAATTTGGTCAGACACAAATGTTAAAATAAAAGACAGGGTAGAAGTATACAAATGCATGCAGGAGGTATATAATTGCAGTGCTGCCATATAATACATTTAATAATATTTTAACATTTTACATAAACCTGTTCAGATCAAAAGCATCACACACGCAGTGTACGATCCACAAACATTGCCTTAATGGATCAACTGCAGACCTTTAACTCTTAATGTTTGTTTGTTACAATCAGAGACGCCGAGAGCGCGGCTAAATCTCTTATCTCGGGTTTTAGTGCATAAGTTATAAGGATTAAAAATATAAAGGAAATTGTTGGAGGATCCTGACTGTCCTCTGGGCAGCATCGAGACGAAACAGAGAGGAGCTCAGTCATAATTTAGACGATTCAGGACGTCTGCACCTTCCAGCCGTACAGCAGGTTAAGACTGGGATATTTGCTGCTCTGGAATAAAGCTACTGTAAATCCCTAATAGACGAATAATCGACGGCTATTGTCTCCATGGTGTTGGACTGGACTGCCCCTTAAAACAGCAACACAAAAATGCTGTTTCACCTAACACACAATGCAACCCCCCTCCACAGCAAAGCCACATCAAACTTTACACACACACTAAATGCTCCCCATGGAATTTACAGTGCAGTCATGCATACACTGTTAAAATCTCCCTTGGACCTATATATTGCCTCACACTCACACATTCATTGTCACACACACACACACACACACACACACACACACACACACACACACACACACACACACACACTCTCTCTCTCTCTCTCTCTCCACACACACACACACACACACACACACACACACACACACACACACACACACACACACACACACACACACACACACACACACACACACACACACACACACACACACACACACACACACACACACACACACGTTTTGCTTTTCTGTAAAATAAACATACCAAAAAAAATTAGGACTTCTATGATATTGAAATTACAAATATAGATTTTCATGCAAAGAGAATCTTGCCGTGATTTTTGAGCAGGTTGGACAAGGGAGCAAACACCTACACACGCATACAATGGTCATTCATAAGGCAATCTTATATCAACACTTCAGGAAGAAGAAGTTTTACACTATCTATTACGGGATTACTGGACTAAACAACCCTAAAAGACCTCCACCTTGATGCCAGTGTGTCCGGGCATTTCGAAGAGAATTTAGCCTATGCCCCACCGCAACATGCACAGGATGTGTGTGTGTGAGACGTTTTCGCATTTGAGCTGCCTATAATACACAGGGCATATGACTGTATGCAGCTGTCTTCAGATTGTGTCTACCCTCTTGAAAGCTGCATTTGCACTATATGTCAGCGTGATTGTGTACGTAGTTACAAGGCACACTGCAGCTCATCCCTCTCCTAAAAGCGTTTTATGGGTGTCTGTATGGGCGCAGGGCTGCAGTGACGGGGACAGGGATGGAGAGGGAAGAAGGTTTGTTGGTGATACAGAAGAAGACAGTATGTGATGGTGAAGCCTGCCGTGGTTCCCCTCGTACTCCAGCCTGGCAGGGCTGCTTTGCCCTTAACTGGGTCAGCGGGGAACACACTTACACATGAAACAGCAAAAAAAAATAACATACTCTCTGTCTCACACACTTAGGTGTATGCAATCATGAGTGAGTGGGATGTGATCTTACATGCAGACGAATAAAAGAGACCATTTCATTAAGGTATTTTGGGTTTGCAATAGACCGAGCTGCAAAGTGTGCGACTGCGCTTGTTATGGAGAACATCCATTGTGACGTAGTATAATTACTGGCAGCTCTTTTGTGGGTGGCATATCTGGCTGTAGATATTATATCAATAAAATAGAAACATAGAGGCCTGGAATTTGTGCTTTTCTGGCCCATATTGATCATGAGGCTGTAGCATAGATCAGAGGTGACTGTTCCTGTTTGGGACCAAATGGCAGAACTGCCAATGCCACATCAATGACCAACTGCTCTACAATATGCACAAATGCCTATACCATCAAAGATGTGTCTGCTGCCTATACTAAAGTAATTATGAGGAATGCATGCCACAGTGTGAATCTGCAGGACAGATGAGGACATTTTTTTGTCCAAATGTCAAAAACAAGCATTCAAATTCATGTGACAACCAATGAAAAACATGACTGATAAATGTATGTTAGAAAATGGTCCAGTCAGGGATGAGTTTGGGGTGCATTGACAGTGATTGCAGTGCAAAAAAGTCGAGGGAAAAGCCGAGAAAACACGGATTTGCAACCCGGGCTTCTCTGCGCGAGTACTACGAGAGGCGCTGCACAATGTCAAAGGAGTATTATGACTCGAGGCAGTCAGCCGGTCTGCTCGGTAACAAACAAAAACAACCGGTTTCAAGTGACGTTTTATTATCCCAAACTAGAGGGGCCTAATTATTTCTTACACAGAGACGTTTGGCATGCAAATATCCACTACGCAACGCCTATAGTGTTTACACGAAACCACTCCGGGAAGCTTCCTTAATGGAGGACAATGTCTGCATTAGAAACTTGGAAAAATAGCATGCATCTTTTTGGTGGTTTCGCTCTAGTAAGCAGCTCGGTAACGTTAGTAGTAGTGTTGCTGGTGGCTTGTAGTAGTCGTAGTACGGTAGCAGACTACTAGTAGCCTACCCACATAGTGACACCGTCAGCCAGACCACAAGGAAACAGGACGCTGTTTGTTTTCCAGTTTTTCTCCCAGGTCCCCATTTTATAAACAGCAAATTAGCTGGTGTTGCTATTTAGTAAACATTTGGGCTGCAATGCTGCAAATAGGTCGATAGCGTTTTACTAGCGACGCTTCTACTCGAAACTCGGAAGCTGTAAGGTGATGGAAAAGTAGTCAATATTCACCACAATGTTGTAATGTCACTCCGAATAGAGGTAACATGTTTCCCAGTCGTCCATGGTACTGCGGTAAAAACATTTGAGAAAGTTTTTAGGCTGTTACACCCCCACCCCTCCCCTTTCTCTGGGCTCTTCCTCGGCTCGCAAGCGGTGTCATTTCTTCGGACGGTTTCGGAATAAACGGTCGAACGTTGGCAGTTGGTTCTCCCCTCGAATTCTTTGAAATTTAAAAATCCGTGTCAGTTGAGCTTCGAGTCGCTAACTAAGTTTCAACTCACCCAAACAGAGCTTTCCCCCTTCGCCACAGGAAGATTTATGGTCCTATTTTGCTGATGAGGAGGCTGGCACAACTCTCGGTAACATCCCTTGGCTGTCGGCTTTGACGAATGCGCGGTCCGGACTCACATTTTACTTTTCCTCCGCAAAACATATCTTTCCCCCACAGAAACTCAAACAAGGCTATAAAAAAACTATCGGTCTTCTTTTCCACTACAGTCACAAAATGGTGAATGAACCACTAACAGCTGGGCAAGGCGACCAATCAGAAGTCACTGACAGGTACAGTAGCCAATCAGTGGCTGCGCAACAGAGAAAGGGGCGTGACGGGCTGTCAAAGTACAGTTGACAGACTGGGGGATCCAGCCAATGGCTGCTGGGATGCTGTGCAACACCGGGTTCCTGTCCCAAACTTTACAGTATCCAATAAGAGCGTTGGGAACCATAGGAACAGCACGAGGGAGGGTCGAGAGGAGGGAGCTAATCATTGTGAGCCAATCAAAAGGCACACATGCCCCCTCCTCCTCTGAAAAGGAGTATGTTTACCATAATTGACAGCACAAGTGCCATCCTTAAGCAAACGGTGATAATGCATCATCCATTTTCCTTCTCCACATTAAAGTTGGTGCAGCAGGATTAAAGCACCACAATGCATTAGTGTGTACTCCCAGCCTCCTAACTGTTGCATTGTATGAGCTGTTTTGTATTCTTATTTTGAGGGAAATCATTGACAAAGTAAAAAGGAGCATGAGTGTGCGATTTAAAAGTTTGTTAAGGAGGTGGACAACACTTATGTGGTGCAGCCGACGCATCGCTGCTCGTTGCAAACTGCTCTCCCTCTCTCCCTTTTCTCTCAGCAACAGACGCTGACTTTCACTGCATTTAGCCAATCACGGCGCAGCATCCCGCTGGCTGTGACGTCGGTAATCTCCACGCCCCGCCTACTCCAGTGAAAGTGAACAGGAACCGAGTGACTGACGTCACTTCACCGGCCGGCGATTGGACAGGTGTAGAACGTCTCGGAGCCAATGGGTGAACACTGTGGTGATGTCATCACGAGTGTTGCCACCAGCTGGACCGAGGGGGCGTGGCCTGGCGTAAACTCGGCTAACCCCGTGTTTGTAATTTACAGGCATTGGTGCTTTAGAAAAACCGTTGTGTTGAGAACTAACCAAACTATGTGTGTGTGTGTTTGAGATGATAACACGTGCGTGAGATGGGACATCCTTGCACGTGTTTGATTTATGTCATCTGTATAGTAAGCTTTAACCTCTGCACAGAAGAAGAATAAATGCTATTTCGGCAAAGATATATTGCCATAATAGTAAATATTACATAATCCCTGTTCTGTGTGTAGTAAAACCAGACTCATGCTGAGGCAGACAGCCATGCGGGAGCAGCGCCTCTTGTCGGTGGGATTTGATGCTGTTCTCTCACTCAAAATCAATGTTGGTAGAGAACTGAACAAAAAACAGAGGAAAGTTCTGATTGGCTGAAACGAGCTGTATATTTTAAAAGAGCGTGTATCACTTCTTGCATGTTTAAGTGCACGTGTGTTTTGATAGAGAGAGGGAAAGACCGAGGCTGGATGTTGATTAAATGTTGATGTAGAGTGACATCTAGTTGTAATTGTTCAGCACTGCAACGGGCATGTTTCAATATTGAAATACGTGTCCACAAAAAAAGTAAAACCTTTTACATAGGATGCCACTGAAACATACATTTCCAAACATGAAAATAACTCTGATTACTTGTACTTTAATTATTTATTTTTTTACTTCACTACAATAACTAAAGCTTTAGTTACTGTTACGGTGTTTGCACACAAAACATATATGCTGATTATTCCATTTATAAACAGAATTATTGTTTGAGTCATTCTGCATGTAAAAAATGTACAGATTGTTCTGCTATGAGAGCTTTTACTTTTTTATACTTAAAGTATTTTTAACTGATTATACCTACATATGCGAACCTAATTTACACATTCAATGCAGGACTTTAAGGACAGTTTGGTTTATGTACTTTTGACTTAAATTAAGGAATGTATTTTGTAGTTGATAGTATTATTATTATTATTACTTATTCATTAATTTACGTATTTTTGCAGTATATTTTGTATTGTTATTGTAATTTTCTACTGTTATTTATGTTTGTTATTCCTTGTAGTCACATTTTCTCTTGTTTTGTTTATGTAATGCAAATTTCTTGCACGCGAAAACCGGATTCTGATAAACCTTTTGAGTTTTCATTGATGAGCCTTATTTTACTTTTTAAATAGTTGTGACCAGGATAAGTACAGAGCGGAACATTAAACAGTTTAAAAGTAGACTTTTCAGTGCTCTCTGGTGGACAAACTTTGTAATTATAGAGAACTTACTAACTTACTGTATAGAGATACCCTCTCTTTTGGCAACAACAAAACAACCTTCTATGGCTATGATATATATAGCTAAATATTCTTTCATTTGTATGTATTCATAACTATTTGCCATTGTCACCTTATAAGGATAACTTAAGTCTTATCTTATACATTTCTCAGTGCGCTTTTTACATGTTTTTGTTATCAACGACCACCCTACCTCGTTAGCAAGTCCCCCAATCCCTCTCTGTCTCCCCCCAGCTCTGCTCTCCCCCTCTCCATGGGAGCCTGACCTCTGACCTCTGACCCTCACCCTCTCTGTGCGCTCGTCACGGGTCTGTCAGTCAAACAGAGGAGACCCTCCCCTCCTGCTGGGCTGCTGTCAAATACACAGGAAGACAGAGAGAGGGGAGACACATTAGATAGAAAGATAAAGAAAGAGCATGAAATAAGTTTGACAGACTTTAAATAATGAAAAATATAAAATAAAAACATAATAATAACCATAACGAGTTTGTCTACTTTGTTACTTAAGTATATTTTGATGCCAATACTGCCAATCCCACTTTTTACAATTAAGTATTGCATATTAGTACGTTTACTTTAAGGGGCTCATGTTCAGGTGTATCTCAGTATTAAGTTTCTCTCTGACATGTCTCCATGCTTTAATGTTCAAAAAGCTCTTTATTTTCTTCATACTGCCTGTGCTGCAGCACCTCTTTTCACCCTCTGTCTGAAACCAGAGCCCAGTCTGCTCTGATTGGTTAGCTGGCCGGCTCTGTTGGGATTGTTTAACTGTTTAGAGATGTCCCGCCCCTTAGCCTATCACGTACAATGTGTTGGAGCGCTAGCCAATAGACGCGTTATGTAACGTAAGTAAACAAAGGAGTACATTGGACGTGTTTCAGGCACACAGGAATTGTAGCCTTAGCAGACCCTTTACATGCACAAAAACCTGTATAAAACCCCATAGGAAAGGGAAAATCCCAAAAACCATGATAGGGTGGTTTTAAGTAAAATATACATTATGAGTACTTTGTTCCCCGGTGGTCTGCAGTAGTCTTATCTTTCTCTTGCACAACTAACTCTAACTACACAAAACCAGAGCCACGTCAGGAATGTCTCTCACCTCAGGGTCTCTTAAAGCAGACGCTCACAGTAGCATAACCTCTGACCTTTGCCTCGACCCCTCACCCACACATGCCCCGTCCACCCCCCCTGAAAAAGTAATGCAAATAGAAAACTGGAAAACTAAAAGTTCCTCAAAATGACAGCTTGCAGTCCTGGAGATCTTCTTTAAAAAAAACAATCAAAAGATAACAATATAATTCACTTTCTGAGGGTTCACTGTGTACATCCACAAAGTTTCCTCCCAGTTTCATCTGAAGGTCAAATTCAATCGGTCCCTGCTGTTATTGATTACACTTTTTTTAAATACAGCAAAGGCACTTTTAAGATTACAATCATAAAATGTCGGGATCATGTATATTAATATTGTAGCTGTCTGAAATAGAGATCATTATATTACATTTCCTATAGGCCTACTGTTGGTTGGTTTAATTTACTGATTTGTATTTCATATACTCGTCTTAGGTTATAGAGATTCATCTGCAATATTTTTGGTTAAAATTGGTTGGTTGTGCAAGAAGTATAACAATATTTTAGTTCAGTAGACGTTCTAATAAAAACACTTGTCACAGGTGAAAGTCATACATAAAAGTATGTAGATATAATCAAGTTAACATACTTACATTTTTTTTTTAAAGTAAAAAGTACTCACAGTGCAGCCAGAAGGGCTCTTAAATTGCAACATCAATCCTGGAGCAATGGAGGCCACTGTAATGCAAAGCAACTGCTACATCAAATACATGTAGGGAAGTGAAAAAGTACAATCTTCTGAGATGTAGTGAAGTAGCAGAAAACAATCAAGTATAGTATCCTATATCCTAAATTCCTCAGCATTACTTCAGTAAAAATACTTTGACTTCACAACATTCTGGTCCTTCTCTAAATGAAGGATTACACATTTTATCATCTTTCATCAAATCCCATTTTAATTTGTCCAAGACTTGGATCTTGGTCAAAATACCTAAAAAACTAATGACATGTCCACTAACATAATCCGTAGGTTTTGCTCAGTGTTGATTAGCATGCTAGGAGTATGTTAACCTAACATGGTGAATATTAGACCCATCAACATGCTAATTGTTGTGTTAGCACGTTAGCATGCTGACGTTAGCATTTAGCTCCAAGCTGTACTTTCCTATGCAACATTTTAATACTTACTTTTCCCGGTTGTATCCTCTTATTTGCACACATTCAGGCTTCTATGATGTCTTTTCTTCAAAGCTTCAGTCAGGCTTTTTAAGAACATTTGGCTACCAGGGGCTAATTCTACAAAAGCATTTTTACATTAACAGCCGAGAGTCTTTGAATAGATTTGTACTTTTCCCCCTGAACTTGTGCACTATTTACCTCAGGCATTTAGTGTCAGTGAGTTATTGTAGAGAATTGAGAGGCTCTTTGTGTATCACATGTCCACCTCCCTTTAGCTTTACTTGAGTAATAGTTACTTCCACCATTGGTGTTATTAAACCTGGAGATAAAACCTCTACAAATTTGCATGGATGGTGCATTAAAAAGTGGACAAACATGTAGTCCCTTATGATTGGCTCCATGCATGTTATGCTAAATACGATTATAATTAGATTCGGTTTGATATACTTTATTGATCCCAAATTGGGAAATGGCATGTAGAGAGCAAGGGAGAGACATATTAAGAATACACAATTTAAAAGATAGAGAATAAGTTAGAATACACTATAAAAGACCAAC